TTACAGTAAAGACATTTATAATGTTAGAAAATATTTTTTTTAAATAAATGCTGTTCTTTTTAACTTTCTATTCATCAAACACAACTACACAACTGTTTTCAACATTGATAATAATAATAATGAATGTTTCTTGATCATTAAATCATCATATTAGAGTGATTTCTGAAGGATCATCATGTGACACTGGAGTAATACTGAAAATGATGCTAAAAAATTAGCTTTAATCACAGGAAGAAATTAGGCTACACTTTACAACATTAGAAAAAATCTTAGTGATATATATGCTCTAATTAAATGTTACACTTATTTCGTTGTATGCAGAAGAGAACATGCATTTCGCGAGTTTTATTTGCACGTTTAAAATGTTAGATGACATATTTGTGCAAACTATTGTGAAGTAAAGCTTTCTTTGGTTCTTTCGAGCTCTGAACCGCATGTACACGTGACGTCACAAGGGGCGGGGCAATGCGAACCTCCAAACTCCATCTCTGAGTCCGTTTCGCCTGATGCCTTTATGTCTGATCTGATGCCTTTTAGTCTGAGGCTGTTTTGTCTGATGCCTTTTAGTCTGAGGCTGTTTTGTCTGATGCCTTTTTGTCTGAGGCTGACTGTTTTGTCTGATGCCTAATTGTACGAGACCTGACACCTGACATTGTTTTTCCTGAGACCTGAAGCTTTTCAGTCTGAGGCGTGATGCCGTTTTTTCCAATAACTGAAGCCTTTTAGTCTGAGGCATGATGCCTTGTCTTCATATGTCTGAGGTCTGAGGATGTCCTAAAATTTACACCGTACGGGGGTCCAGTTTCCAGATCAGGATGCTCTCTGCTCTCCTCGTCGTGCTCGCATGCGCGCTCGCTCTAGATTCCGGGAGATTTTAACTAATTTGCGCTATAACTAGTCAATCACAAATGTGGCTCAATTGTTAGATTTATAGATAAACTCATCTTTCAGGCATTTGACCGACGGGATTGACACTTCAGCGCGAGAAATCAGGGGTGTGTCGTGTGAGCGTGTGTGAGAGTTGGCAGCTCGGCTGTTCTCTCCCGTGCTCTAGTCGTCTCTGATGATGTCGTGGCGCTCATACATCATTGTTACATCAGGTGTTACATCAGGTGTTATCAGTACGCAATGTCTTGCAAATTCTGTGAGGATTAGGAGGGGTGTTTTAAAGAGTCTTCATACAACATGTGTTTTTCAGGCTGGGTTGTTTGTAATTGTGTAAAAGTAGGGAAAAAATAAAAACCTTTATTAAACATTTATTAAACGCATGTTCATGTTTTGTAAATGATTAGTTAATCATTAACTAAACAATTGTAAATGACTTAACTCAATCTACAAAACATGTATACAATAATTAACATATCACTTATTAAACATTTATGAAACGTATAATCATGTTTCATAAAAACTATTTAATCATTTACTAATCACTTGTAAATGACTTATAACAGAATTTACAAAACATACATAAAATGTTAATATATTATTTTAACATATATATATCACTTGCTGATCATTTTCCAGGGTGGGGCCCCGGCTGCGCTGTTCCTTTATTTATTTCTCATTTAATGTAAGATAATGTAGTCTTCCTCTTCAATTATCTCCTCTGTAATTCTGGTTAATGGATCAGAGGCTACGCATCTCACGCACCACACGTGTTTGATCCAATCATCACTTCACTAAACCAGACAGAAGGATCAAAGAGAGATATTATTACTGGTTATTAGATCAGAAAGGTGTTATAATCACTGAACAGTTTCAGAGAGATGTCGCAATCATCATTTCATTATAACCAGACAATTAAGTTAATGAAAGAACATTGATTTGATCCTATTCAAGCTACAGGCTTTCTCTGCGCTGGTGACAAACTGAAGTCTCTGCTTTTCTTTTAGTTTATTGGCATATGACAAACAATATACATCAAATGTTAAAATAAAAGTAGAGAAACTAACTTACATTACTTATATATATGTAATGTAAGTTAGTTTCTCTGTATGTAATGATAGTAGTGTGTATATATGAATAAATAATGTAGTTAGCAAGTATTTAACCATATTCATGAGAGGAGCATGCTGAGAACTTTTGATTGGTCGGCTCCTCAACCGTTCACCAGAGCCGTAGAGAGAAAGAGTCAGTAGTGTGTTCCTGCACAACCAGAGCGAGTGTGAAGCTGCAGACTCGGAGACCTGCATCTACAGTCCCCCACCCAGAGTCCCGCATCCTCAGACCCCTCGTTTTTCGAGACAGCGCCTCCTAGGCACTGTGAGCTGACATCGCATTTGTCTCTGGTGTTTTCACTGCGTGATGTGTGCAGTTATAGGCATAGACATGTCTTTATTATTGTAATATACTTTGGGGAGCGTCAGACATGAGGAGACATGGCTAATTCAATTAAGCTTTTTATTGATAGCATGTCCGAGCGGACCATGTGTCATCCAAACACCAGTTCAACAGTCAACATAATGACACACACACACACACACACACACACACACACACACACAATAGCCTCTCATTTCAGCCACAGCCAATCATGCTGCATGCTTATTGTTTCACTAACGTTGACAAGATTAGCTCCTTAGGTATCGAAATTCGGTACTGAAAAACAAGACATGTTTCGATACTCGATAGTATTGATGCAATATATCAGACAGCAAGCCAACATTGAATAAACTTTGTTTTTTGATCTGATCTGAATAAACTTTGATCTGAATGATCATTATGATTGATATTGAAATTTCAATGCAAAATTAACGTTTAATCACCATTACCCTGTCGATGAAAAACCAACGTACAGCACCGGACACAGCTCATTTCTGGACCCTTGGCACAAGCGTAAAGGTAAGCTTGCTTAATGTTAGATATGAATGAATTGTTAGGCTGATTGTTAACATGATGGTTCGTGTAGTAACCAACGCAGTGCTGCAGACACTGGAATAGATTTCTGTTTTATCACTGTGTCAAAATCTGCCAAAAATTGCCTAGGCCTACTTTGTAGTTCTCTTTGCTTTGCCTCACATTACATACTTCATATAGGAACATCTCGCGGCACGAATGTACCAATGTCTCCTGTTTAACTTAAATGCTAATTCTTTGCATTGTGATTTTATTTTCTGTTTTAGGTGCTCTTACTCAGCAGATGGGGACAGACGCCGTCACCCGATTCACATGTGCCAGACCGGGCTTTCATGTTTAATGCACTGGATTGGTTGTCCTTTCGCGATCGCGATACATAGGTGAAGCTGTCTCTTTAATTGCCCACTTTGCTTGGGTGTGCGTCCCGCTCAGGAAATTCGATAGCTGACTTTTTAGAGGCCTTTAGGTAGCCTAAAAATATCAATTGTCCATTTTCAATCATGGACATACGACATTGGCTCAAGAAAGCTCAAAGCTCTACATCACAACAAGACGAAATGACACCGCATGCCTTCACTCTCACCTCATGACACCCATTCAAACACCGGTGATAAACCCCAGCAAGTGCCGCGGCCGATCGAGTGACCAGCATTTGACTGTCTTAATGAGTGAGTCATTTAATCTTTAAATCAGCTGTTTAAATGCACTGATTCATTGTCGTCAGAAACTAGATGTCTAAAATGTAGTCAGTTTCATTTTCAATACTTCACACATTTGCAATACTGCTGATATTTGGGGGAAAAGCACTCTGTGTGTAACATTTATTAACTATATTATATGATATAAATGTAAAGCACAAAAGCTCGTACAGGGACATAGGCTACTCGATCATGCAGATCACATATCGTTTATCATAACAGCAATTACAGTATTGTTGTAGACACTAGGTATCGCTCAGCCCTATTTTGAGCACCCTCACTATTTTCAGAAGCACCCTCAGTGATTTGGTTCCAAAACCGGGCCTGCCCTCTGCTGGTACAACACACACACATTCAGGATCAATAGTTGCTCTAAAACTCCAACATTTTTGAGTTTATACTGTGCGTTTATACAAATAAAAAGGTTAATCTATGAATGAGAAAGTGTAATTTGCTGTGAAATAAAAGGTGTTTCACTGCCGCCTCATCAGGTCTGTCAGAGGATGATTGAAATCTAAATGAAGTCTTAATTTCTAACAGTGAAGTCACTGTATCTTCAGTCTCTGTTGATTCTGTTGACTGTGAGTCTCTGTAGTGGATCCTTATTCACCATCAGATGATCAGCAGAACATCAGACTGTCATCTATAACTTAAAATAAAACACACACACAGTCACATATGCAGTATGAGATATTACATCTGTCACATCTTTACATAAGAAAACTAACTAGATAATCTATAATAATTCCTTCTCCAACATGATAATATAGCTTCTATCTGATGCTCAAAGTCACTTTACAAAATCAAAAGCACATGAAAGGTCACTTTCACACAACGGACAGATCCAGAACCAGCAGAAATCATCATTACACTCACTACAGATTTAATATCAGTTGATAACCAAATCTCAGATTATCACACACATAAGGCGTCTTTACACAGAAAAAGCAGCACAGAAACCACAGGCGTCACTTTTGTTAGCGTGTCAGGCAGGTCGCGTGTGTGTGTGTGTGTGTGTGTGTGTGTAATATCGTCCTCAAGAAGATGATTTCTGGAATATAATATAACACAGTGACGTGAATAAGCATTTATTCGGCGGCGTGTTGATCTGCCAGTCTCTTCAAAGGAAGATTACTAACAGCCAAAGCCAATCGATTACACACACGACGACTCTGTTATTTTGCTGGTTTGCTTCACGATGTGAGTACAGGACTCATTTACTTTATTGTCTCTTGTTGGCTGACATGTTTTAATTTGGCTAAAACAATATGGAGCTCGGCCTATATGTGTTGTCTTCCGCTTCTTGACTGTCGCGCCGCGCGTTTGGTTGTCATGACAATGGCGTAGTTTAGAGCGGCACAAGTTGGTGCTCATTTACACTGAACCAAAACAATATCAGAGTCATCTTTGACACTAGCGGCTGAGGCGGGTCAGGCCGGCATATTCTCAGTTTGCTTTTATGCGGCATTGTGTCTTTACACAGAACTTTGAGCAGACACAGAGCCGCTTTAGAGCAGCCTTAACTCGGCTGTGTAAAGATGCCTATAGAGACAGTTCAAGGGGAAAAGAGGAAAATAACATTCATATTATTCTCACAATCAGTCACAACAGTATGAGCAGAATTACACTCATATTAAACAGTTTAAAGTCCAGAGACCGACAGAAACTGAAGCTGAATTTAAGACTCATTATCTGATGATCTCAGACACAATCTCCACACACACACACACACACACTAGGGGTTGAACCGACTAGCCGATTAGTCGACTAGTCGACCTTAATGCAATGCCGTGACGCTTTTAGCTTGACGTCGACTAGTCGCGTTGATCATGTGACACTATATGATTGCGCTAATTTTGATAGTATTTGGCCGCGTTGCAGACGACAACAGATGAAGAGCCTAGAGGGTCATTGCAGCAAGAAAGCAGCATTGGTACATAAAGCGTATGGAAATACTTTACTAACGTAGCACCACTATATTGTTGAAAACGAAAGTAAGCATGACGCACGCTCACTGTTTTACCGGGAAATAAGAGCAGTCTCTTTTAAAATCATTCAAACAGCCTATTTTTCCCCATATATTTATTTAAACATATTAATGCATTTCTAATTCACCCGCAATCAATTGGAATATTACTTTGTATTACTTAGATCCATCACTAACGTGCAGATGTGAATTTATAGTTTTTTTTTTCTTTTCATCCTAAATGATGATGTAAACAACGGGCTGTTTAGCTTCATCTGGCCACTTCACCTGTTTCTGTGATCTGATTGCTATCCGATCGTGAAAACACCAGGTGTAAGCTAAATGCCCTCCGAAACGCATTGGACACGGATTTATGCTCAAACCACTTCATGAGGAGGTCTGGGACGCTTTAAAGACGAAACTTGACACATACATGCATCTGGTTGTTGAAATCGCATATGTAAATTGGACTTCTCCCAAAAATGCTGAAATAAAACGCCTATGCTATTATTTTCATGATGAAGCTATAACACGCACCGCAGCTGAGCTTCTATCCATAAAGCCAACGTGCAAACTATCGTAAATCAAAGTGAAAGTAAGTCACAGACGCTTAACACACAATCATCTTCGTTAAAAGTAAAGAAACAAAATTATATTACCAGTACTGTCTCTCTCAGTGCGGTCTTTGAGTTTGAAATTAGCTGATGATAAAAAAAGCTCATTACTGTTGCTACCGGTGATGTGAACTCCGTTAAATCTGCATATAGCGCGTTGTTTGAAAATCGGATTTATATCCATTTTGCGAAACATATTTATGTGACCAGGTGTAAATGGAATCGTTTTGATAAATCAGATCAGTAAAAACACATAGTGTCCAGGTGTAAACGGCCCCATTATGAGCTGTCAGCGTCACTTTCTGTTAATTAATTGCAAATTGTGGCATGTTGCAAATCTGTCTCATCTCTTGTGTTTTTATGAATGACGTCAGCGACTAGTCGACGTCGACTCGACTTTGATGTCATAACAGTCGACTTCAAAAAATCTGAAGTCGTTCAACCCCTAACACACACACACACACACACACACACACACACACACACACACACACACACACACACACACTAGTTTGTTACTGAACTTGAACCTTTATTATTATTTCTAGCGAGTAAAACAAGTAAAACAGAGATTTGAACTTTAAATGAAAATATGATGATGTAAATCGTAAAGAACTATTCTTACTCTAGTGTCTCCAGTTTATAATGTGGATCATCCCTCAGATCCTCCAGCTGCTTCACTCCTGAGTCTCCTAGATTATTATTATACAGATGCAGTTCTCTCAGGTGTGAGGGGTTTGATCTCAGAGCTGAAGCCAGAGCAACACAACCTTCATCTGTGACTCCACAACCCCACAACCTGTAGAGAACAATGACACACATTAAGCCTATATCCAGAGATAAACACAACACTTAAACTATAAATAACATAATGCTGTCAATATGAAATATATATCTCATACTCATGCGTGTGTGTGTGTGTGAGAGAGAGAGAGAGAGAGAGAAGTATATGTATGTGTGTGTGTGTGTCAGTGGCACAGCCATCTCACACACACACACACACACACACACACAATCATTACAACTGCACATTTTTTGGGTATAAATAGCCTAATGTATTGTGAAGCAATATTTTCATCAGTGTGTTATATTTACCCCAGGGCGTTATTTACCTTTATAAAGGCACTGCTTTAATTTTACCTTATTAAATGTATGCATCATCTTTCATGTCAAATTCTTACATTTGATCAATAAATTCAGTTAAAATAATAAATGGGGCTGTTACCAATTAAATTATATTATATAGTCTAAACACTGCAAAATTGCAACTACAATAAATAGACTAATGTTATGAGATTGATGTTTTAAAAAAATGTTTAAATATACAAGAAAAAAAATAAATAATACTTATTTACACGTGTATGTGTGTGTGTCTGTGTGTGTGTGAGAGAGAGTGAAACAGACCAACTAAGGGAAAAAAGCATTGCAGTAAATCGCGCTGATTAAATCTAACGATCGTTTATCTTATCATGTCAAACCGTGCAAATTATCCTTTGTTCTCAAATTGTTAATGTTCAACGTCAGCATTGCGTGACTACATGTAATGTCCTTCTGATATTATCCTTGTGTTGGCATGGGCCGCTGCAGTCTCTTTCCCCAAACTCTCAGTCAGAGTCTTCTGCATGTTACAGCGGTGAGTCTCCAGGTGTCTCTGGTGATTGTCTTTTGAACCTTTCTGGATCCGCCATCAAATTAATTAGTTTAGTTATATCCAGTGCTGTGAGAAAAGGCTATAAATCTCCACCTCCTGCATCTATACACTATCTACATATTAACCCTTCAGGCGCCAGAGGTTTTTTCCTAAAACGTTCGATTTTGACATCTTAATTTCATAAGGCTTTATTTTAATAGTAAAAAATTAATTGATTCTGTAAATTAGAGGGAAATGTAATCCCTACATAAACTTTTGGTCAGCCTTAATATTTCTCTAATTTGCATATTATGACACTCTGATTCCATGTATGAGGCACAGCACACACATATATATATATATATATATATATATATATATATATATATATTATTCATATGACACACAAACACAAGTAGACAAAACCTGTTTAGTTCAAAAGATCACTTGCGACGGCAAGGCACAGATCATGAGTGAGATGATACGAGCGCGGTATGTAGTATGCACACTATTGCGACTCCTCACCCTGTCTTCACTTTGCCCCCTATCTGTACTATGAATACTTCGACCTCGTCTAACATACCCAGTGATAATAGACAGAGACTCCACCACAATACTGTCGCTACGATTGCTGAGACACTCTGATGAAATGGCTCACTCTCATACTAGCTCCGCTGTTGATCGCACTGATTCAATGCACTGTAACTTGAACATTTTGTATAGAAAAATTATGATTTTTGAGTTGGGGATGAAGTATGACATGTCTGCCATCCAGTGGAGGAGAGGTCGAATGAAATTTGACACCCAATTGGACAAAATCGGCCGTTTTATTCAGTGACGCATCTTGTCGAGTAAACTCGACCGTGGCACCTAGAGGGTTAATCCTTATTCACTCAGTCTTTATGGTAGAGATGATCTTACCACAGTTTCTCCAGTTTACAGTGAGGATTCGCCAGTAGATCAGAAATCTGCTTCATTCCTGAGTCTCCTAGTTTATTCTCAGACAGATTCAGTTCTCTCAGGTGTGAGGGGTTTGATCTCAAAGCTGAAGCCAGAGCAACACAACCTTCATCTGTGACTCCACAATCAATCAACCTGTAGAGAACAATGACACACATTAAGCCTATATCCAGAGATAAACACAACACTTAAACTATAAATAACATAATGCTGTCAATATGAAATATATATTTCATATTCATGTGTGTGTGTGAGAGAAAGAGAGAGATAGAGAGGTATATATGTGTGTGTGTGTGTGTCATGGGCACAGCTGCACATTTGCTGAGGGGTTTGCAATATCAGTGTTGGCGCCACCCGTTACACACACACACACGCGCACACACACACACACACACATTTGAATATTTTATTTGGAATGACCAATACTGATTAACCACTTAACTGTCACCGTCCCACAGGTGGGACGTTTGCCACTATATTTTTAAAACAATAATATCTTAGTAAATACCTTAAATAATATTGACAAGCTATATATCATTTGAAAGCTTACAATCTCTAGTTTCCATATTTGGTGACTGATTTTCAAAATATATTACAGAGGAGCCATAATTTATCAATATAAAACAAGAATATTTTCATACTCATAAGGCGTGTTCAGTCCTTTATTTAAAAATAGCAGTAAACATGAAAAATCATGAAAAAATGGTAGATACCTCAGTTTGTTTTCATGCCAAAAGTTCAAAAGATAGAATCCATTCAATTATTTTGGAAAAAAAGGTCTGAAAAGTTTGAAATATCAAGAAAAAAATAATAAATTCACCATTTGTGACGTGGCAGCTAGCTATGACTTACATGTGTGTTCTTTGTATGTGTTTCTTAGAGGTTCAATTCATATCAAAATCTGCCAAACTTCCCATACTACTTCTGAATAGGATCTCTACTTCAGAAATTGTATGAAAATTGTGAAAATAATGGTTCATATCACTCAAAACAGGAATGGAAATGCAGACGCCCTTATATGGGCAGTAATGGAGTCTGATTGTGCCCTAGTGAAAAAGTTTGGTACTGCGCTCAAACAAAATCTTATTGAAAGCTCATTTTTTGAGATATCAACCTAAAATTTGAAACACAACTTGTTCAGATTTTTGGCTTTGATCTTTCTGCCATTTTAGAGTAGCCCAGGTTTTGAAAATATATATTTTATGTAAAATATGAATAATTAATATTTTTACATTGTACATTTCCATAAACTCAAACTTCTATAACTTTTTTTCTGTTTCACTTTCTTAATTTATTTCACTTCTACAAAAATCTGCCAAATGTCTTCTTTAAAACAAGACCAATCATATGTCTATATTCCAAAGCATTCTTGAATTACAACCATTTAAGTTCGAAATGTGCATTTTCATGTCTATTCAAAAAAGGGGGGGTGACAGTTAACAGGTTAAAACAACACAGCATCCAAATATTCACAAAGAGCCTGTCATGTCTCACCAGACAATACACACATCGACAATATCACAACCACATGAATATATAAATAAATAAACTATGGATAAAGATGACATCGCCTCCTCCACACACGCAGACTGCCTATGATTGCCGACACAGAACAGTATCTGGCTGTTTGCTTAGAGATCTTTTTACTCAGTCCAGCAACTTGCAAACCCCTTACACATAATCTATGCACATGTCCTAGACTACCAAAGATCAGAATGATCAATTTTGTTCTGTAGCCACATACTGATAAAGCATTTGTTAGTGACTGATATTTCAACATTTTCTCAGAAAAACACACGTCCATGTAAGCGTCAAGTGTCACTCACACACACACACAAACAGCAAAGCGACTTGTGACTAACGAACGAAAATTCGTAACAAGAGATTTAAAGCTCATGGCAGACACGCCCAAGAGATGATTCGGGCTGTGATTGGCTGAATGATAGTTCACTCAAGTCTAAGTAACAAATCAGAGAACACGAGCAGAAATATTGGCGCTTGGTCAAAAACAAAAATGCAGGGGACAGAATCTCCTGTTTGTAAAAGTGGGGGGACGTGTCCTCCGGTTGCTGCGCCCCGCCTGTGGAAGTACTTCATCCACTCCAATGGTCTCTGAGAAGAGCTCTTTCCTCAGCAGTCAATCTCTGCTTCATCATATCCACAAACATATTGACTTTTCAAAGAGACACCATACCCACATGTGAGGACAACTCTTTAACATTGGTAAAATCAACTCCACTAATATCCACAAGACACATCAAAACCAGCTCCGCCTATTAAAGGCTCTTCTAATAACCAAAAGAGTGAATCATTAGATTTCAACCATTGCTTGGATCCATCTTTGGATATATTGAAGACGAAACGTTGCTCCTCTACTTGCCAGATGAACTAGTCCTTGTCCTCCTTCTTCAGCTTGGAGGAACAGAAACACTTTGTGGTACCAAGTGCAGTTCGTCCCAAAAGAAGTTCACCAGAATTGACTGCAATTTTCCAAAACTTCATTTTTTCAAAAAATTTCATTGTTACCTAAATAAACTAAAAAGGTATTTCAAACCTTTTTTATTCCATGATAACCCTGCTTTAGGTAATGTGGGTAGACCTTTTCCCCAATCTACAAACGCAGTTGCATCACTTTTTGTCCAATGTACTTTAGCAGATGATATCAAACTAAAATCTTTAAAGGGATACTCCACCCAAAAATGAAAATCCTGTCATCATTTACTCACCCTCAAGTTGTTGCAAACCTGTATGAGTTTCTTTCTTCTGCTGAACACAAAGGATGATATTTTGAAGAACGATTGGAACCAAACAGTTGTTTGGCACCAATGACTAAAAAAAGCAGTAGAAAGATTTTCATTTTCGGGTGGAGTATCCCTTTAATAATTGACTGTAAAACTTCTAAATCTTTTTGACCCTTTATTAATCACAAGAGATCAATCCAGTATCTATGATTTGTTCAGATCCAGTAAAGTCGTCGTCATCACAGGCGTGAGTTGAGGGAAGGGACATGTCCACACCAGTTCTCCTCAGGATCGATTTCTTACACAGACTGTAACCAATGATGAACATGTTCGGTTTTGATGAGAGAAAAAGAACTATACGAGTGCGGATTAAAAACCAATGACCTCTGACACGCTTGGCAGAAGATCTAGCACTAGACCATTGAAGAACTCCAACAAAACCTGCGGATCGATGCATTCATTGACGGGTTGAGCAGAGAGTCTGCACAGTTTGACCCGCGGGCCGCGGCCGCACACCAGGCTGCCGGATACTGTTGCTAAGAACTTGCCATGTATCAGACCGGCCCTCGCGGCCTCGAAACACTACCGGCCCACCGGGGAAAGCCCGACTCTCCCGATTGCCACTCCATTACTGACTCGTGTTATATTAGAGGTGGTTTGTGGCATTATTCATTATGAATTAATGCTGATGGGAAATGAGGAAATGTGCAATCATACTGAATATCTAAGTAACAAGCTTTCAGGAATAAAGCTTTAGAAAATTGAGGAAAAAAAATCCCCCACATCCACTCAATAGAGAAGTGTTTTCTAATGGCAGAAACCAAATCAATTATGAGACTCAGTAGAAGAGCTTCAGGTTAAATCCTTCATGATACTCGGTAGGATCAAGGCAGTTGGTCGGTACCTAAAAAGTATCGAACTCGATACCCAGCCCTAGCGAAATGATGAGAAAATGAATGAAAAGTTGCTTTAAAGGAGAACTTCGGCGAACAATGAACCTTTGGTCTAATAAAACATCGGTACATAGTCAACCGTTCTCTGAGGTTTGTTTTCATGATAATCAAATGTAAAGTGTTTTATCTCTAAAAAACTGTTTAGCGTATAACGTTAGTAATGGGGCATTGACTAAGTAAAAAGAAATCGCTAGTTTATACCACTAACAAGGCTCAAAATAGCCCCACACTAACGCAGTAATATAATGAGGCTCCATACATGCAAAACGAAGCATTGAGAACTTTGTAAGTGTACAGACCGTTTAACCTGTTAACTGTCACCCCCCCTTTTTTGAATAGACATGAAAATGCACATTTCGAACTTAAATGGTTGTAATTCAAGAATGCTTTGGAATATAGACATATGATTGGTCTTGTTTTAAAGAAGACATTTGGCAGATTTTTGTAGAAGTGAAATAAATTAAGAAAGTGAAACAGAAAAAAAGTTATAGAAGTTTGAGTTTATGGAAATGTACAATGTAAAAATATTAATTATTCATATTTTACATAAAATATATATTTTCAAAACCTGGGCTACTCTAAAATGGCAGAAAGATCAAAGCCAAAAATCTGAACAAGTTGTGTTTCAAATTTTAGGTTGATATCTCAAAAAATGAGCTTTCAGTAAGATTTTGATTGGGCGCAGTACCAAACTTTTTCACTAGGGCACAATCAGACTCCATTACTGCCCATACAAGGGCGCCTGCATTTCCATTCGTGTTTTGAGTGATATGAACCATTATTTTCACAATTTTCATACAATTTCTGAAGTAGAGATCCTATTCAGAAGTAGTATGGGAAGTTTGGCAGATTTTGATATGAATTGAACCTCTAAGAAACACATACAAAGAACACGCATGTAAGTCATAGCTAGCTGCCACGTCACAAATGATGAATTTATTATATTTTTCTTGATATTTCAAACTTTTCAGACCTTTTTTTTCCAAAATAATTGAATGGATTCTATCTTTTGAACTTTTGGCATGAAAACAAACTGAGGTATCTACCATTTTTTCATGATTTTTCATGTTTACTGCTATTTTAAAATAAAGGTCTGAACACGCCTTATGAGTATGAAAATGTTCTTGTTTTATATTGATAAATTATGGCTCCTCTGTAATATATTTTGAAAATCAGTCACCAAATATGGAAACTAGAGATTGTAAGCTTTCAAATGATATATAGTTTGTCAATATTATTTAAGGTATTTACTAAGATATTATTGTTTTAAAAATATAGTGGCAAACGTCCCACCTGTGGGACGGTGACAGTTAAGTATAAGAAGATACTTTATGAAGACAGTTCACTTCGCGAGTACAGACAGGAGTCATCTTAAAAAATAGTCTCGATAAGTCAAACCACGAACGTCGTGCTAAATGATCTGAACTGAATGAAGTTCAGTGAACTTCTGAACTATATGAATGGTGTTCGGGGATCGACTTATCGAGACTATTTTCTAAGATGGGTTAAACAGTTTTTACAGATAAAACTCTTTACATTCGATTATCATGAAAACAAAACTCAGAGAACGATTGACTAGGTACCGATGTTTTATTAGACCAAAGGTTCATTGTTCGCCGCAGTTCTCCTTTAAGATTTTGTCTTTATTTAGCCCTTACTGTATAA